CAGGCATTAGTTAGATTCTTATGAGGAGCGTGCAATCTACATCCCTCACATGCGCAGTTCACAATAGGGTTCACGCTCCTATGAGAATCGAATGCCACTGTAGATCTGACAGGAGGTGGGGCTCAGGCGGTAATGCTCGCTCACCCGCCACTCACCTCCTGCTGTGTGGCCCGGTTCCTAGCAGGCCACAGACGGGCGCAGGGGTTGGGGACTCCTTCTCTGGAAAGATTCCATTTCCCATCCCTGCTGACTAGTTGTGGCCATCAGGGAATGGGAAACAGTGACAGGCGTCACTTCGTTTCCTGCTTCTTCAGGATCCCCAGCTCACTCACCTCTGGCTGGCTATAGAGGACCCAGGGGAGGGCTCCAAGGGCGAGGGGGTAGCAGAGTCGATGGACAGAAGAATCTTGGATTCCCAGATAGTCTTGATGACTTGGAGGAGGCTTGGAGGAGTCAACTCCATTGGGTTTAGCTGCTGAGATAGTCTTGATGACTTGGAGGAGGCTTGGAGGAATCAACTCTGTTGGGTTTAGCTGCTGAGATGGGAGCTGTTCCTGCAGTGTAGCCTAGCACATCCTGAATAGTACACAATGCAAGAAACTTGACCTTCCAGTGCAGAGATTAAATATTATTATATAATAATGATAATACTATTTTAAGGACTTTACCTATATTAATTCATTGTTACAAACAGCCCTTTGAAGAGGAGACTATTATCTCCAAGTTAGGCATGAGGAAACACAAGTTAAGCAACTTGCCTGAGCTCATACAACTTGTAGGCAGCCAAGTGAATCTTCTCCCAGGCAGGCTGTGAAGCAGCCCTCCCTCCTAGCCACTGCCCCCACACTGCCTCTCACTCTGACGACGCTTCAGAGTTTCGTGGGCTTGAGGTTATTCGTTTTGGGTAATTTGGGAAGCAGAGCTGGTTAATTACTGATGGGTTGAACATTTTTTTAAAACTCCTGAATCTGTAACAGCACGTCAGATCTTTTATGCATGGGAGTTACTTCAAACCTTCAAGAACAGATAATTCCATGCTAACTGATGTATGTATATGCGTGTGCTGTGCAGCAGTATGAACAGTCATGTGGTTTGTGTCCATGCATGTATGTTTGTATGAGATGGGCATGTATGTGTAAGATGCACTTGAGTAGTGGGTGGAGGGTATGAAGGACATTTGTATGCATTTGGTATGTGTGTATATGTGTGTGGTGGGCTTATATGTGGTATGTATGTGATGTGTGTATATACACGTTTGTGTTATTGCATATGTGTGTACATGCGGCATGCACGTGTGCATGGGCATGGTGTACGTGTGATATGTGGTGTGCGTCCATATGCTATGCATGTGTGTGTGTGTGATGTGGGTCTGTGTAATGTGCCAAGTTTGATGTGTGAGTGTGTGTGTTATGTGTGTAAATGCATCTGTATGTGTTTTGGGTGCTGTGTATATGTGTGTCCCACCCACACATGCATACTAGCTACACATATGCCTACCACATAACATACCTATACACATAGAGCTTGCCCTCGCCAAGCACACCATGCACAGGCATGCATATGATGTACACAGATGCATACCACCACATGCACAGCACACATGCATCCATACATGCTACACACACATCACATGGACACAACTCACCCTTACACACATATGAAACACACAAGGCCACACTGCACACTCTCATACCACCTCCACACTCACCATCCACACATGCATCACCCTACACCACCACGCTGGGTGTCAGAGCTGGCCTGGACCCCAGGAGATGGCTGCAGAGGGCATATGTTTGGGAATAAGCGCCATTCGTGAGGTTCACCTTCAATCTGAGCACAGCCACCCTGTTTCCAATTCAAAAAGATCCCCATGCAGCTATGTGGATTCTGCCTCAATTTCCTCCAGAGAGAATTCTCTGAAATTCTTGATGAGGTTCACAGTTGCAGAGTCACAGCCTCTGGGGCTGTGTGCTCAGGAAAGTGTGGCACACGGGAGCACGTGCCAGTCCTAACTCCAGCCCTAGTCATTTGTCGGGGCACAGCCCAGATGTCACCTCACCCAGGAAGCCTTTGACCCTCGCAGGATGGGGCACCCCTGTTCTGCATTCCCCTGGTTCCCCTTTTTCCACTGGTCACATGGTATTCATAAATTTATACTTTTGTGGTTTATAATATGAAGCTGCTAATATTATAATATTATGTGTTCCATCTCTGTCTCCCCAAATGGACCTTAACTCCAGGAAGGCAGACTGTGCCCCATCCTGCTGGCATCCCCGGTGCTCAGCCGAGGGCCTGGCGGAGAGGAGCTGCTCTGTTTGTATTCTTGCTGAATGAACGCATCGAATTGTAGCATCGCGGGCTCTGAAAATTGATCTGTTGCCCACATTCCAATCCAGTGTAAAAATGTATGTGTATCCCTCCAGGGAGGAATTACTAGTGGGCAATTTTGGGACTAGCCATGCCTTCCTTCCGGGGTGGTCAGGGGACAATCTCAGCCTCAGCCCAGGTTGTGCCTCCTGCTTGGACCGAGATGCGTTTGTAGGGGGACGTGTGAGATGGAGAAACCTGAGGAAGGCGCTTGGCTCTGGGAAGGGCGAGTGGGGTTGGTCCCTGGGCCAGCTCTGTGGGCAGTGGGGGCAGGCTGCAGGCAGGAGGTAAAGGTGTTCACAAGGTTGGGGCCATGGCTCTAGGGTACGGCAATAACTTGAAGCCTCAAGGTGTGAGGGACCCCGACCGCAGACTGGCCCTGGCAGGTGGAGGATGCTGCAGGGAGAACCTGGCCCACGACGAGGCTGGGGGACCCAGGGCTAGCAGCTTTGGGAGCACAGGGATGGGGAGTGGGAGAGCCCATGGCAGAGACCCCAGTGCTTTCACAGCAGGTGTGACCCTGGGCTCTTGGAGGCTCTGTGGGTCGTGGCCACCGTCACTGCAGGATGGAGTCGTAAAACATGCAGCAGACGCTGCCTCCCAGGAAGGAAGGAGGGAAGCCCCAGGAGTGGGTGGTTGTTCCAGGGCTGAAAGTCTTGTAGTCGCAGGTGAGGCCAGAGCCAGAGACATTTGGAGCAATACTGATGTGGCCCCACTTGGACCATGGGCATAGCCAGTATGGTAGGCTGCTGCCTTAGAAACATACAGGCCTGGGTGGGGATTCTAGTTCAAGCAATTTCCTGAGTGGGTACTCTCAGAAGGGAGTTACATCCTCAGCAGAGCGGGGTGGGAGGAAGCAGCTGAGCAAGGATGGTGTTGCTGCTGGAGGCGGCTTCAGGCTGCTCCCAGGGACTCGGGTTGTGAATGGGACCACAGAATTGGCATCTCCATTATTTGGTCATTAGCTGTGGCAGCTCGAGGGGGTAACGACTGGGATGGCACTCAGGACCTGGGGATGGGCTCTGGCAACAGAAGAGCTCGGGGAGAGAGGGAACCACTACAGTGCCAACCACTGTAGTCGGCGCTACAGACTGAAGGATTGTGTCCTCCCAGAATTTGATTGTTGGAATCCTAACCCTCAATGGGCCAGCATTTGGGGGCGGGGCCTTTGGAAGGTGACTGAGTGGAGCCCTCGGGATTCGGGTGAGAGCTGTTAAATTCTGGAGAGTGCCCTCCCCTCCCGCCCTGCCGGACACAGAGAGAGGATGGATGTTTACGCACCAGCAAGTGAACCCTCACCCGACGCTGAAGCTGCCAGGGCCTTGATCTTAGACCTCCCAGCCTCCGCAAATGTGAGCAGTAAGTTTGTGTTGCTGTGAGCCACCTGGCCCATGGCACTCTGTTATGGCAGCTGGGATGGACTAAGACAGTTGCTGTCCACCCCATGGCCCTGAAATCAGCCTTTAGGCTCTATTTCCACTCTCTGGGGCCCCAGAACACACCCGTGCGACAGTCCCTGGTATCTGCAGGCAGGGTGCTTAGGTTCTGCTCGAGGCCTCTGTGTGTCCCGTGCAGCCCAGAGGCTGGCCTTGGTGTGTGGACGCTTGGAGAAGACTCCTGAGCTCCTGGTGCAGCTGTGAGGGATGGCAGCAGGCCTCTGCCTCAGCACCACTTTACAAGGAGGGCCTTGTACTCTTGTCATTGTGGGCTGTCTGCGTGGATCCCAGTGATGCTGTTTTCGCAAACGTGGAAGCAAGAGTTGAATATTAAACTGTCTAAGCCGTCATGTTACTGACAAGCTCCACACAGAAAAGGAAATTGTAACCACATGAAATATTTATGCCGCACGTTGCGGTGCTGCTGCTGACGGGATGGCAGGTGGCTGGTTTGTTTGGGGTTTTCTTTTTTATTTTTCCAAAGTGGATTACAAAATGCCCTCCAGTGGGGAAACTGCACCCCACTCCTGGGCTGTCATCTGGAAGGAGGGGTTTACCGTGATTGGAGAGTGAGAGGCTAGGAGAGCTGTCCTGAGGGTGTAGCCTGCTCTCTCTGAGTCCCGAGCCTGGCTGGGAGCAGCGGCACCTGCCCCCACCTCAAAATGGCTGCAATGCAGGGTGCAAGCGTTGCAGCTTTCCACCAGGCAATTGGTATTTTTCCAGATGTAGTTAAAGCAGTCAGGTATTATTTGCCTTTTATTGTTGTTGTTAGTATCACCATCTAATATCTGCTGGGAAACCTGGTTTAAAGAATCCCGTCTAGGACGTGTCCTACACTCCGGTTTGAAGAACCCCTTGGCCGCCTCCCTGGGTTCCCACCGCTCACTTCCACAAGCCTGGGAGGCCCCATCCTCCAGAGGAAGGGCTCGCCACTGTCACCAGCCGATGCAAGTTCCTGTGTGGCGGCACTCTTGCCTACACCCCTTTTCATCATCACAAGAGCCCTACGGGTCTGTACCACCGTGACCCCCTTAGAGGGCAAGACTGAGGTCAGGGTGCTCCCATCACCCACACAAACCCACACGGGCTGGTAAAGGTCAGGCAAGACTTTGACCTGAGTCCATCTGGCCCGAGGGGCTCTATGCCACTTTAGGGGGTTCAACCCTGACTCACCAAGGACAAGGAGACACAGACTTGTTTTCAGCTTTTCAGAAGTTTTATTATAAAGAGATTTGAGAGAAGCACTGGGCACCAAGACAGACACTTGCCAGGGCCAGGAAACAGCTGCAAACGACGTCAAGAACCCAAACCCAAACCAAACCCCAAAACCACGCACACGGTAGGATAAGCTGCAACTTTGTTCTCAAGGTTTCTCCATAAATAGACAAAAGTCGTCGCTGGCAATGTAAAATAGATGAACACATGGTTAAAAGGAGAGCGGTGCTCCGGGGTGGCTAGCAATCGTCCGGTCCTTGCTGTGAGGATGACAAAACGGTTTGGCAGCCGCTTTTGTGCACGTCTCCCTTAAGATAAAACTTAAAAATGTGCTAAGGATCATATAAAATGATTTTTACCTTAAAGGAAACTACTTTTTTTCCCCACAAAATAATCTTACAGATGTCTTCAGCACAGTTCTAAAACACGTAGTCAACTACTTACACGGAACCAACAGTTTCTAGGTTTCGTAATCTTTTGTTCACACTGGAAAACCGATGTGCACGTCTATGATGGGGGCCGGCCCCCTGGCCCATGCATCTGGGGTGGGTGTCCGTTGGTAAGCGACCCTGCCAGGGGCAGCCCACGTGAGCTGGGGCCGGGGCCAGGCATCCAGACATAGGGTACCGTGCGCAGGGCGAAGACAGGGTCCACAGTTACCCTGGAGCAAGCAGGTCAGCGGGCAGAAGGTTCCTGCAGGTTCTTTGGGCTGGCGGCGGGCAGTGGGCTGCCTCTGCAGAGTCTGGTGGGAGGTCGAGGAAGAGACTCAGCCCCCGGCAATGGGTGTGTCACTGCTCCCTCGGATGGGCCACCCTGCCTCTGGCCAGGGCCTCTTTTCTGCTGTCAGCCCTTCAGGCTCTGAGCAGTGCCTTCCAGCGAGCCTCAGGGATGGTGGGGAGGCGGGATTAGGTGAGGTAGAGCGATTTGTCCCTAGGGAGCAGGCTGTGAGAGAGAGGAGGGGCTGTCAAAGCTGTTGGGTACCTCCCCAGGCCAGGGGAGCACCAGGACCCCTGCACTCTACACCCCCCACCCCCACCGGATTCAGCTGCCCCCTGCAGCACAATGAGGGACTTGCAGCTGCTCCCCCACCCCCACCCCACTCTGCACCAAGCCCGTCCTGGAATCCCAGCAGGGGACCACCTGGTCCTCAGCCCTGGGAGAAAGGGCAGTAGTGTGTCTGTCCTTCATCGAGGCGCACGCTGATGTCACCATTGCTCATATCCGTTTTTAATCACAGGAATTTGTAAGTCTCAAACTGAATTAAGGGAGGGACAGGTGCCTTTTATGTTTTTAAAATAGGGCCCTGCTGCAGTCCGACCTCCATGCTGGATGTGATGGGCCAGCCTCAGGAGGCTTGGACGTTGCATGACACTCCCCTACATGCCCTAAGTATTCTGACTTTTGAGAAGGAAAGTTGGCGGGAAAGGGCTGGGGTAGGAGGGTCTGCACCTGCTTGGGGTCAGGGAAGGGATTCTTGCTGAGCCGAGTCCGCCCACCCACGTAGAATCTCACCCCAGGCATGTCAGAAACGGGGCATGCACGGTGGCCACTTGTTCAGTGCCTAAGGGCGCTGGCGGGGTCAGCAGAGGAATCAGCTCTGTGCTGGGAGGCCGAGGCTAGGGCTGGGGGCAGGGGTTCTCAACAGCAAGGTGGCCACCCAACAAGTGCGCTGTGCCTTCCAGGGGGTGGCGCTATCCCTGGAACAGCTGCTTGGCATTACATCCCCCAGGTGTGGCTGGAGGACTCGTTCTTGCCAAGGGAATGGGAACCCGGCTGGCAGGTTAAGGAGCAAGTGTCCCTCCTCACTGCATCCTCCCTCTCCTGCTGGCTGGAGTGAAAGGCCCCTCTTCCCCGGAGCTGGGGTGGCGTGGATCCAGGAAGACTTCTAGAGGGAGGCGTTAGCATGGGTTTGAAAGGTGGAGTGCAGGATGGGAACGGAGGCCCACAGGAGGACTAGGGAGGACGCTGGGGTGCAGGGGAAAGGGGTCTCTAAGGTGTCTAATTCCTTGGGATAGACAGTGGGTCCGTTCTCCCACCGTGTCTCACCCAGGTCCCCTATCCTGCATTCTCAGCTGTTCTGTCTTGGGAGCTGCCCTGCCCGGTGGGCTCCACTCCCCACCGGGGCAGCCCACAGCTGAGGGCTGACTGATGAAGGGGTTAAAAAAGCCAGTTCCCTGACCTCCAGGTGGGAGCCACTCTGGCACAGTTCATGCTCCAGGGCTCTCATGGGATGAGGCCACCTCCCCCCTCGGCTCCTTCCCCCACCCCATCCTGCCTCCCTCACCCCCTTCGCCTGCAGGCTCTCCCCAACACATCCCCAAGGACACCCAATCCCTGCTGCCTCAGGCTCTGCTTCTAGGGAACCGGCCTAAGATGCAGGACTCATCTGTGAATGTCACGTGGAAGCATTTGTGAAAAAAACAGGAGCAAGGAAGGAGCAGCAAGACTGAAGACTCGTCAGTTTCCCAAGCAGGCCTCAGCGTCAGGCCAGCAGAGTCCTTCCGGGGCCTGGCTCTGCGGTGTCATCTGAGGTCTCGATCCCCTCGGCAGGGCTGACAGTGACTGCAGGGTCCTCCCCTGTCCACATTGCCCGTGGCCATTCTCCCATCCCTGGCCATCCTATTCCCAGTCTCCCTGGCTGGCAGGACAAAGGCAGGAACAGGCGAGGACTAACCTGCAGGTGCTGATGCCACACTCCCCACTGGGGTAGCTGCTGTCCCAGTCCCCGCTGCTGGTGGGGTTGGACGGGCCAGGTGAGCAGGATCCCGAGCTGCTGGGGAACTCAGAGATGTGTGAGAAGTCCTACAGATGGGGAAGGAGGCCATAAGCCAAGGAGAGATAAGGGGGCAGACTGTCCCAGGCCTACCTGGGGTGGGAGCCCCTGTGTCCAAGGGTGTCCACACAGAAGAGACACTGCCTCATGTCACCCAGAATTGCCTCTCTGCCTCCAGGGCTGCTGCCTTGCTCCCAGTAGAGCACCCTGAGAAATATTCAACCCTTGTCTTGGCTTAATCAGGGGCTGAAGGACTTTGCTTTCAGGGCCTTTCCCTTTGTGGGCCTCAGTTTCCCAATCTGTAAAATGGAATTACTAAGCCCAATGACCTCTAAGGGCCATGTGAACCTTGTAGCAATCTCTGTGGAACAATTAGCAGGGGTAAGGTCTTGAAGGCTTTGGGAAAGGCCAGGGTTAGGGCTGAGGATGCAGGAAGCGGGGACTGGAATGTCCTAAGAGTCAGTCTGGCAACTTGTGAACTGTTCATTGCAGCCAGCGCATCTCAGATAAGGTGCGCGAGACCCCCTTCCTAGATGTGGTAACTGAGGCTCAGAGAGGTCAGGTGCCAAGGCTGAGGTTATATCACCGGTCAGTGGCCGGGCTGGGGTTTAAAGGGCAAAGCCGCTTCCCCTCCCCACACAGTCACAGAGGGCTGTTCCTGCTCTTCCCTGCTTACCTGTGGCCCTGGAGGTGAGGGGCTCATCGCCAGCTGCACCTGGAGTGCCATGGGGGCGGGCAGGACAGGGGGCTGGGGGGCTGGGGACATGCTAACAGGTGGACTGAGGAGGGCGCCCTGGGCATGAGGGGGCAGTGACAGCTGCTGGTGCAGTGTGGGGCTGAGTGGGAAGGAGGGTGGCGGCGGCGGGGACGCACTGAGGCCTGGCAGCAGAGACTTGGAGCCCAGCGTCCGGGCGAGGCTGGCCGGGGAGGCCCCGCTGCGGAAGGCCTGCAGGTCCGACGGCGTCAGGAAGGAGGCCAGGCCTGGCATGGCATACATGGGCTGCTTGGGTGGGAGCATTTTGGCTGGTGGGTTTGCCTGAGTGCTCTTGGTCTCACCTTGATCCGGGGAGCTCTGGAAGGAGACAGGTATCAGTCACTGGAGAACAGAAGAGGGACGAGCCAGAACTTGGGCTGTGAGGCCAGGAGGCTCTGCAACCCACTGACATGGCCCCTGGCTGGCTCTCTTGGGAGAGAGCTTGGACTAACCAGAGCTAGCACAGGGGCCTCAGTCCCCTTGGCTCTGGCCATCCAGCCACCCACTGCTTTTATCTTTGGGGGGCCCCCTCCCCATGGGGGAATCCATGCTCCTCAGCCTGGCCAGTGGGACAAGCACCATCCCACTGAGCCAGCTCTCATCATGCTCCTTCCAGCCTCTGTGCCTTTGCAGATGTTGTTCCCTTGACTTTGAACTGCCTTTTACTTGGCCTTTTATGGACCAATTTGTGTGCCATCTCCTCTGTAGCAGGAGCAACACCCACCTCCACTTGGGCCACGCATCCACGGCCACACCTAGCTTCCTACATTGCTGGTGTTGACAGAGGCGGCCGGGGGTGTGGTGACGAGGTGCCATATTTTGGGGTAGCATATCCCAAGCCCCATCAGCGGTCAGAAGTAAAGGCCACATAAAACTGGCAAAACTGGGTTTGAATCCTAGTGCAGCCACTTCAACAAACTGGATCTTTTCAGGCAAGTTGCTCAACCCCTCTGGGTGTTGGGTTCTCGTTGGAAGAACCCAGTGGAAAGAAATGTATGTAAAGTGCCCAGAATGAGCCTGGCACGCTGTAGGTGCCCTGCAGACATGACCATGTAGTTCTGACCCATCCTTTCTAAGACCTGGGGTGCTGGCCTTCCCACGGGCCCCGGTTCTTGCTCCATTCCTCAAGTGGCCCCACTCTGATCAGGGCTGTGCCTGGAGATTCCAGGTGTTACCTTGGAGACGAGGCTAGCCCGGTAGGCTGCCAGAGCCTTCAGATATTCCTTCTTGGCCGCTTCTGTCTTCCTCTTATAGGCCTGGAAGAGTCAACACATGAGCAACACTGGGGAGAAAGTTGCAGAAGAGATGTGGTGCAGGGTCCTGGGGTGGGAAGGCAAGGATTCAAGGATCATGAATGGATGAGGGGGGTGGGGTCAGAAACTGAGTCAGCCAGCCACTGGCCCCATTCTGGGAGCACTGCAGAGAAATTGCAGAGACCAGGCCATATCCCAGTTCCTCAGCAACTCACTGTGTGGCCTTGGCCAACATGCTTCAACCTCTCTGGGTCTCCACGTTACATCAGCACAACTGATCACAGAAAGACAAGGCCCTTTGAAGCCCCCATTCTGACATAGCACAGTGCAGATTTCTTAATGCTGAGTCACCTGTGCAACCTAGAATGAACCTACTTGTTCATAGTATATTAGGCTGGATTCGGTGTGCTATTATCTTTTATTAAAAATTTTAGACTTAGATTCATATGTTATCGTAGGATTGGTCCCTGTTTGTTCGCACCTCCTTGTTTCCATGGCTTTTGGTAGAAACAAGGAGGTGTGAACGACGTGGAGCTTAGCCTTGTGTGACTTGTGTTGGCCAATAAAAGCACAAATGTGATGCAAGCAGTGACTGACAAAGTGATCACATATTAGTGAGCCCTCTTGCTACTCTTAGAACTCTTATTTAAAAGAAATTTTTTTGTACATGAGTAAGTTCTTTAATGATTTCTGAGATTTTGGTGCACCCACCACCTGAGCAGTGTACACTGTACTTCATGTATAGTCTTTTATCCTTCACCGCCCCCATCCTTTCCCCCAAGTCCCAGAAGTCCACTGTATCATTCTTATGCCTTTGTGTCCTCATAGCTTAGTTCCCACTTACGAGAACATACAATGTTTGGTTTTCCATTCCTGAGTTACTTCGCTTAGAATAATTGTCTCCAATTCCATCCAGGTTGCTGCAAATGCCATTATTTCCTACCTTTTTATGGCTGAGTAGTATTCCATGGTGTGCGTGTGTGTGTGTGTGTGTATATATGCACATACATACACACACACACACACACCACATTTTCTTTATCCACTCATTGATGGGCATTTGGGCTGGTTCCACATTTTTGCAATTGTGAACTGGGCTGCTACAAATATGTGTGCAAGTGTCTTTTTTGTATAATTACTTCTCCTCTGGGTGGATACCCAGCAGTGGGACTACTGGATCAAACAGTAGATCTACTCTTATATCTTTGGGGAATCTCCACACTGTTTTTCACAGTGGATGGACTAGTTTAGATTCCCACCAACAGTGTAAAAGGGTTCCCTTTTTGCCACATCCACGCCAACATCTATTTTTTTGATTATGGACATTCTTGCAGGAGTAAGGTGGTTTTGATTTGCATTTCCCTGATCATAATGATGTTAAGTATTTTTTAATATGTTTGTTAGCCATTTGTTTATTTTGAGAATTGTCTATTCATTTCCCTAGCCCAATTTTTGATGGGATTGTTTTTTTTCTTGCTGATTTGAGTTCCTTTGTAGATTCTGGATATTCGTCTTTTGTCAGAAGTACAGACTGTGAAGATTTTCTCCCACTCTGTGGGTTGTCTGCTTACCCTGCTGGTTATTTCTTTTGCTGTGCAGCTTTTTAGTTTAATTAAGTCCTATCTATTTATCTTTGCTTTTGTTGCATTTGCTTTGGGTTCCTTGGTCATGAAGTCTTTGCCTAAGCCAATGTCTAGAAGGGTTTTTCCAGTGTTATCTTCTAGAATTTGTAGGGTTTCAAGTCTTAGATTTAAGTCTTTGATCCATTTTGAGTTGATTTTTGTATAAGGTGAGAGAGGAGGATCCAGTTTCACTCTTCTACATGTGGCTTGCCAATTATCCCAGCACCATTCGTTGAATAAGGTGTCCTTCCCCCCCCTTTGTTTTTGTTTGCTTTGTCAAAGATCGGTTGGTTGTAACGATTTGGCTTTATTTCTGGGTTCTCTATTCTTTTCCATTGGTCTATATGCCTATTTTTATACCAGTATCATGCTGTTTTGGTGACTATGGCCTTACAGTACAGTTTGAAGTCGGGTACTGTGATGCCTCCAGATTTGTTCTTTTTGCTTAGTCATGCTTTGGCTATGAGGGCTCTTTTTTGGTTCCACATGAATTTTAGGATTGTTTTTTCTAGTTCTGTGAAGAATGACGGTGGTATTTTGATGGGAATTGCATTGAATTTATAGATTGCTTTTGGCAGTATGGTCATTTTCACACTATTGATTCTACCCATCCATCAGCATGGGATGTGCTTCCATTTGTTTCATCTGTGATTTCTTTCAGCAGTGTTTTGTAGTTTTCCTTGTAGAGGTCTTCCACCTCCTTGGTTAGGTATATTCCTAAGTATTTTATTTATTTATTTATTTTTTTTTTGCAGCTAAAGGGGGTTGAGTTCTTGATTTGATTCTCAGCTTGGTCACTGTTGGTGTATAGCAGAGCTATTGATTTGTGTACATTAATTTTGTATCCCGAAACTTTGCTGAATTCATTTACCAGTTCTAGGAGGTTTTTGGATGAGTCTTTAGGTATATGATAATCCCATCAGCAAACTGTGACGGTTTGACTTCCTCTTTACTGATTTGGATGCCCTTTCTTTCTTTCTCTTGTCTGACTGCTCTGGCCAGGACTTCCAGTACTACATGGAATAAAAGTGGTGACAGTGGGCTTCCTTGTCTTGTTCTAGTTCTCAGGGGGAATGTTTTCAACTTTTTCCCATTCAGTATAATGTTGGCTCTGGATTTATCATAGATGGCTTTTATTACCTTAAGGTATGTCCCTTCTATGCCGATTTTGCTGAGGGTTTTAATCGAAGGGATGCTCAATTTTGTCAAATGCTTTTTCTGTGTCTATTGAGATGATCATGTGGTTTTAAATTCTGTTTATGTGGTATATCACATTTATTGACTTGTGTATGTTAAACCATTCCTGCATCCATGGTATGAAACCCACTTGATCATGGTGGATTATCTTTCTGATACACCATTGAATTCAGTTAGCTAGTATTGTGTTCAAGATTTTTGCATTCATGTTCATCTAGGTATACAATCATGTCATCAGCAAACAGCAACACTTTGACTTCCTCTTTACAGATTTGGATGCTCTTTCTTTCTCTTGTCTGACTGCTCTGGCTAGGACAGTACTCTGTTGAATAGAAGTGGTAAGAGTGGGCATCCTTGTCTTGTTCCAGTTCTCAAGGGGAATGCTTCCAATTTTTCCCCATTCACTATAACGTTGGCTCTGGTTTATCATAGATGGCTTTTGTTACCTTAAGGCATATCCCTTCTATGCTGATTTTGGGCATAGAAGGAATATTGGCCTGTAGTTTTCTTTGTTGTTGTTGTTGTTATGTCCTTTCCTGGTTTGGGTATTAGGGTGATTAACTGGCTTCATAGAATAATTTAGGAAGGATTCCCTCTTTATTTTGTGGAATGGTGTCCTTTAAAAGTCTGATAGAATTCAGCTGTGAATCTATCTGGTCCTGAACTTTTTTTTGTTGTTGGTAACTTTTAAATTACCATTTCAATCTCACTGCTTGTTATTGGTCTGTTCAGAGCTTCTATTTCGGAATTCCTGATTTAATCTAGGAGGACTGTATATTTCCAGGAATTTATCCATCTCCTCTAGGTTTTCTAGTTTATGTACATAAAAGTGTTCATAGTAGCCTGAATGATCTTTTGTATTTCTGTGGTATCGGTTGCAGTATCTCATGTTTTGTTTCTAAGTGAGCTTATTTGGATCTTCTCTCTTCTTTTCTTGGCTAATCTCACTAATGGTCTATCAGTTTTATCTTTTCAAAGAACCAGCTTTTTGTTTATATATTGTATTTGGTTTCAATTTCATTTAGTTCTGCTCTGATCTTGGTCATTTCTTTTCTTCTGCTGCGTTTGGGTTTGGTGTGTGCTCTCTCTCTAGTTCCTTGAGGCGTGACCTTAGATTGTCTATTTGTACTCTTTCAGACTTTTTGATGTAGGCATTTAATGCTATGAGCTTTCCTCTTAGCACTGCTTTTGCTGTATCCCAGAGGTTTTGATAGGTTATGTTACTATTATCGTTCAAAGAATTTTATAATATCCATCTTCATTTCATTGTTGACCCAACAATCATTCAGGAACAGGTTATTTAATTATTTCCATGTATTTGCATTGTTTTGAGGGTTTTGGAGTTGATTTCCAGTTTTTTTCTACTGTGGTCTGAGAGAGTACTTGATATAATTTCTATTTTCTTAAATTTGTTGAGACTTGTTTTATGGCCTATTGTATGGTCTATCTTGGAGAATGTTCCATGTGCTGATGAATAGAATGTTCTATAAATATCTGTTAAGTCCATTTGTTGTAGGGTATAGTTAAGTTCGTTGTTTCTTTGACGTTCTGTCGTGATGCCCTGTCTAGTGCTGTCAGTGGAGTATTGAAGTTTCCCACTATTGTTGTTTTACTGTCATTCTCATTTCTTATGTCTAGTAGTAATTGTTTTTTAAATTTGGGAGCTCCAATGTTAGATGCATATACATTTAGGATTGCGATATTTCCCTGTTGGACTAGTTTTATCATTATATAATGTCCCTCTTTGTCTTTTTAAACTGCTGTTGCTTTAACGTTTGTTTGGTCTGATATAAGAATAGCTATTCCTGCTCACTTTTGGTATCCATTTGCATGAAGTATCTTTTTCCACCCCTTTACCTTAAGTTTATGTGAGTCCTTATGTGTCAGGTGAGTCTCTTGAAGACAGCAGATACTCAGTTGGTCAATTCTTATTCATTCTGCTATTCTGTATTTTTAAGTGGAGCATTTAGGCCATTTACATTCAATGTTAGTATTGAGATGTGAGGTACTATTCTTCTATTCATTGTGCTATTTGTTGCCCAAATACCTTGTAGTTTTTTAAAAATTGTGTTATTATTTTAGAGGTCCTGTTAGATTTATGCTTTAAGGAGATTCCATTTTGGTGTATTTCAAAAATTTGTTTCAAGATTGAGCTCTTTTTAGTAGTTCTTGCAGTGCTGGCCT